TTACACAAAATTTTACGACGTCCTAGTGTTGACAACAAATACATACTTATTGCTATCAATACAATTAAACAAGTACTCGTGTATATACGCAAACACCGTTTTAAGTTATAAATTATCAAAATAAATAATAAATATAACATATTCAACTAACGAAAACGTCTGGATAATCTAATATTAATTTAATATCTCATTTTACGATTTAACCAACCCTGTTGTTACAATTGCATACACGAAATAACTATATTTAACTGTATATAACTAAATCGTTATAATTAGTTTGCTTATATTATTATATTATTTTAATTGTAATTATTTAAAATCGACTAAATAAACAAATTAAATGTTGTTTGTATAGGTACCTACTCCGCATTGGTGTAAAATAATAATTTCATTTATAAACGATTAACATTTTAATGAGTGTCACAAGAAAAATATTAAAAAGCTTACGTTAGCGTACACCGATATCAAATTACATCTCATTGAACCAACCATCTCTTCATATAGGGATCGTGTCGTGTCATTTTTTCCTACTAAAACAATGTATCCAATAAGGGGAGAAGTGTATAGAGATTTATACAGCTTTCAATGTCAACTCTTGTATACACACAAAACTGTCTGGCGGCGTCCGGATAAGTGCAAAAATGCACTGGGGGACAGGATCCTGTTTGCAAATTAGCAAATCCGTTTTTGCCGACACGATATTCACACGGCGGCAGTCACGACACACAGTACTCGGATTTGTAAGTCTTGATATATTCAATAACTTTACTATTTGTTTATTATGACCGTACCAAATATTTATTTTTAAAAAATATATAGTATGGTACAACAATGATATCGATGTTTATCAAATAAGAATTCGATTAATGTTTTGAATTAACTCAAAATTAGCAGGCAATCACTAAATTTGTTTGTATCATATTTATTAAATATAATTATTCTTTTTACTTATCGATAAAGCATTATCTGAATTAATTAAATATTTGAAATCTGTGTATTGTAACTTATATAGAAACAGTAGTGATTAATTAACCGTGAATGAATTCCAAGCACTTATTTTAATAAAACTCGTTAAAAATATTTTAATTTTTAGACTCTCTCCTAAAATAAGTAAACAGAATAATTATCATTACCCACTTACTGGTGAATACAATGATAGACATAAATATAAGTAATACATTACAATAATTTTAAATACTGAACAATTTAAATTATTTTCATTGGTACTGTTTAATTACTTTAAAATAGTAATAATAAACAGTTATAACAATATATTTTTAAGTATTTTAAAATTAAACTTAAAACTAGTTTTATAATTGATTAGTCTATACAATAAACGTGCGGGTAGAAGCCATTTAAATAAGATTTATTTTTATTAATATCTACATAAAATGAACAATGTCCCAATGAAGTTTTAAAAATAAAATATGATGATAATAAAACATTAAAATTTCAACTAAAATTAAATGAATGAACAAATTGTAGTTAAAATTTGATGTAAAAAAATAATTTTAAATGTGTTATCCATAATCTTAATATAGATTATGCGTAAGTTTTAAATTTAAACAAGATTATAAAATATATTTATCTAGTTATTCGTTTTTGTGTTTAAACCCACGAAAAATAAACACAATATGTTTTTCAAGAAGAAAAATAGAATATTTGGATAACATTTAGAACATGTACATGTATGTTACAATAGCTCCAAGCAATAAATTACGGACCCTAATAATTATATTGTATTAACGGTGTAGTCAAGGTACTACTACGTACATGCGTATGTATTTATACCTAAAAATCTGACGAGTAAGAGAATTCCTAAATAATTATCATCCCCTTAACTTGTCTGAGACCCACGTCATTAAATGTTTAAAAGATCATGCGCACGTAGAACTATGCGATGTTGAATTGTTGATGTGGTATAAGATAAAGCTATGTTAACAAAATAATAATTTACAACACAAAAGTCTATGTTTTTAAATGAAATCGAATTGAAAACATTGTTAATCGTGTTTTTCTACAAATTTAATACCAGCTATAAAACTTTTTAAATCCGTTATGTTTTATTATGTAAATTATTACAATTTTGTTGTTTTTAATTTTACTCATAAATTGTTAAATTATTGTTTAAATGTCAAAAAAAATCCAAGATAGCTAAATTTAAACGGTTTGTGTTAAGAAGTATATATTATTATACTGTTGTATTAATTAAAATGTATTATGATGATAAGATAATTTGTACATTTACTCTTAACATAAACATGGCAATTTTAAATAGTAACAAGGCATTATGCATTATAATGAGATGTAAGGCATTAACATAAACATAAGTGCCAAAAAAAAATAGGGATTATCAAAATAAATTTACTAGGTTGGTGTTCGTTTGTCAACCACAGACGTAACAAATTACATTTTTAAGTACTTATTAAATATTATTAACATTACCGATCACTTTTTATGAATGACATAATAAATTACAAAATCGTTTTTTAAATTGTTTATTTTTTTTACACGCAAAATGTTTTTAATTTAATTTTTATCTTTATTAATCTTTTGTTTTTATAATTTTAAATGTATCTAATAATATCATATTGAGTACACCAAACGTTAAAATAACGATTTTTTCCTAAGAATATATTACATATTTCATAGATTCTATCGATGACGAACGATATATTTGACGATATTCATTTATTTATTAACATTGATCATGCCTACAATACATTTCCAATAATATGTGATTCATCAAAGAGTATACACATCTTGGGAGACAACTGTTATCTTGGGTAAAAATTGAAAAGTCTACGCACGTGCGGACGTCGTCGTTAATAAACGGCCCTGTTATTTCTCACCTATGCAACCGGTTCACGCTAGCCGGCGTGACCAGAATCGATTCATAAATAAAGAGATTCCAAAACGAGGAGTAGGTACATAACATTATACAAAACACCCTGGGCCAGATGGGAAGAGGATAGTGATGGTGCATGTGCTGCGATCGAGCGCGCGCGTTTATATGAGAGAGAAAGAGAGACAGAGCGAGCAAGACGGGAAGGAGGAAGAGAAAAAAATAACACGAAAACAGATTTTTATCTTATGTCCGTCTACGTTTGTGATGCTGTACCATGGGGTATCGTCAGCTAACTCACGGGGGTCAATGACAAAAAGAGAGAGAGAGAAAGAAATAACAATCCATCTATTGTTAAATCTCAACGTTAGTCGATTGCACGAAACTGAACGATTACAATCGAAATATTAGGTATATATAGATCAAACTATACAGCCGCCAATTTGATAAACGGTACAGCCTTTCGGGTTCAAAACTATTATGATCGTGATTTTAATACTATTTTAACTACCTTACTAATCTTTTTTTATGCTTATGCATTTCGTAAACACATTTTTTCGGTTTTTTTTTTCACACCGATAACATCATAATATATGTAGGTAGACGGTAGTAGGAATTCGTATATAGTAGCTATTTTATACAACAAACTGTATACATTATGTGAATACATGTATGTGTGCGTCTGCGTGTCGTAAAATATAATTATTTGGAATTATAATGTATAATAAGAATCACTAATTCATGAAATATTAATTGTAATGTTTTTTGACCGTTGTCAAATTAACACAACTATGGTATTAGATTACTATGGTATTAGATATTATGGTATTAGATATTTTTATTTCTTTTAAAAGTCAAACCATCGTAAAACGAAAAACATAAGTGTTAACAGTTTAGGAAATACAATTCTGTAGAGTTGTTAAATAGAAAAAAAAAGGATCACCATTGTGTATTGTTAACCTGTAATCATCAGTTTCTACATGAGGTCTGTCGGGAATTTAATGAACATTATTATTATTGATCTCTCGACAAATTACAGTGCGACCCCTCAGTTATTTTTCAATATCAAAATAATTTCCGAGAAAGGAGGTGTCAATACATTTTGAACATGTGTCTTATTATCTTATAATTTCACTGTAGGTACATACGTCATCGAAACCTGAAGTGTATTTAAATTTAACACCTTGAAAATACTCACCACGAACAACAATGGTCATGACCATAAACATTACGTACACATTATTAATACGTTGGCGTCCACAACAGTCAACACAGCCTACATAACATGATCGAAAACCGTATAGGTAAAGTAACTAAATTCGATTTGGCCGCCTTTGTGGATTACTAATAGAGCGCGATTACTGATGGTTTTTTACGGTACATTTAAACCTCAATAATAAAATACAAACAATACGGTCTGAATTATTTTAAATTCAATGTTTAAATATAAATATAGTAATTTCATATTTATCGATTTAGCTGCTAATTTTTGTATCAAATCAAATGTAAATCCGTTAAAACACTAACATTTATTAAAATTAAAACGTTTGTCATTGTCGTGACGTTGATGAAATCGCACAACTTTCATGAAATGGTTTAATCAGTGGTTATAAAAAAGCCTCGTAAATGTTGTAATTTAAATGCATCACGTTATTATGAAGCTATCGATTTCTGCATCTTAAATAAAACTATAAAATCCTACATGAATATTTATAATCAACTCTAATTTAATCAGACCGAATCCGTGAACTATACCAAAGAATATTGAAAATGTAATTTTGCATGCTTAAAATCAATAAAAATTGTTTTGAAAAAAAAAAAACATTTGAAATTATTTTACATCTTTTACACATATCCTTCTATGTCATGCGTTTCACTTCGGTATACTTCGGTCGAGGCAAACGCGTGTAACCACTGTGGAACCAATGTGAACGCGTCTAACCCGCCATATACAGCGTACACAACGCAAATGAATACTTAAACCTAATAATGGCGTGTTAACAGTTTTCAGGTTTAATTTTTTCTACACACATGAACGTCTACTGCTCTTTTTGCAGTCGTATCACGTCTGAAACGTATACTCGACTGACAATTTTGCTCGTAAGCGAACAATCTACGCGAGGCCTATACGATGAACGAATTTAGTGGTACTCACATTTGCATTCGTTAGGGTCGCGAACCGTAGCCCTGGCCCAGGGCCGGTCAAAGTGGAATGGTTTACAACGGTCGCAGTCTCGTCCAGCGGTGTTGTGCTTGCAATCGCATACCAGAGTGCCGCCGGGACCGGACGGTACGCATTTGGAAGCGTGTCCATTGCATTTGCACCGACCGCCCACGGACAGGTCGGAAACCGCGTAATGGTACGTGCGACCGGTGGACGAAGACGCGGTAGTGATCACCGGTACCGCGGTAGTCTTCTCGGGTTCGTGTCCTTGCAATTCCTGGTCCGGGTTCAGCATCAGTAGGTTCGCACTAGTCTTGTTACCGTTCAGCAGTTCTTCAGAATCCGACCTGATACCTATATCTTCGCCAGTAGTGCTAGGGGTGCTAGTAGTGCTGGTGCTGGTGGTGGTGGTGCTGACAGACGCGGCCGAGGGCGGGTCCGAGCCGACCGGGAAGTGCAGCCGGTTGAAAATGATCTTGATGTCGGTAGCAGTGACCCAGTCCTGGAGCACGGGGCTGTTGTCAAAGTCGATAGCACTGGGACGGCCCTCGAGCGTGCTGAACGCGACTCGAGACGCCGACGACCCGGCACCGTTGAACCGGTGTGAGTCGGTGCACAGGGCCTCTTGCTCGTTGGCCTTGGTGATGACGGCCCGGTTCGGCCGGCCGTACACCTTGCGGCACTGGCCCGAGTAGAACTGGAACGGTTGCCACGTCTTGCCGTAGTCCATGCTCTTGTAAATGGCTATCGAGTCGGGTTTCGCGGCCTTCGGGCAGAATTGCAAGTTGATGTAGGTGAGCTCGTACTTCTTACCCAGCGACAGCGTGAGCGTAACGTTGTCAGGCGGCGGGAGCGCGGACGTCGGGTCCACCGGTTGCGCGGACAGCGTTTCGGACCGCCAGCACGTGGTGTTGTACGGGTTGTTGGCATCCGTCAGGTAGGCGGCCGGGTGCCGGCGTCTGGCCTGCGAGTCGTCGCACACGTGACACACACCCTGCGACGTGGGCCCGAGTTCGCAGTACCGCTCGGGACCGCGCACGCCGCACGTGCTAGTCGCTTCCACGTGACCGCCGTACGCGGCGTTCACAAAATCGGGCACGCACCGGCGGGCCCGCTCGCCGTCGTAGCACGGGTCCGTCGGGTCCACGTCCATGTCCGAGTCCGCGGACGCCGAAATGACGGCGGCGCACAGGGCGAGAACCACGGCGACCACGTACATTCGATAGGGACGCGTCATCGTATCGTGTTCGGAAACTGTGTTGACGCACTGTTGTTCTGCTATTAAACGTGTACTATACGTCGGAACCGCGCGTTTCACTACACCTCAACGCGATCGGCAAAAAACACCCATTTAACCGGCTGCGGTTACGACGACGATCGCTTTTGTCTCTCTCACTATCTCACTCTCTCTCTCTCGCGCACAAACACTGCTGCTGCTGCTGCTGCGGTCCGTCCGTATTTCGATAGCGTTTTCGTATTTTTACGCGCAGTTGGCCGAACGCCAGACGAACATCGCACTGTTTTCGCGAACACCCGGTCGTCACGCACGGTAGCGAGGTGTTGTGGTGCACGCGTATAACAAGCGGTCGTGGGAACACCGCGGAAACCGTACGACACTAGGCTACCAGTAGGTTACCGCGCGGCGGGTGTTTATCAGCGGCGTGTATATGGGTTGCTCGCGCGCGGACCACGACGATGATGCACGGGACCGGAGACTGACTGCCGCGATCTCGGGCGGCAGACACGGTGCCGCGCGTCTGGCGGCGCGCGGCCGGGGCGGAGCGGGTCTCGTGCGCTCCAATCGGGTGGAAAAAGGTCGGCGGACGACCGGAGTGGGGCCGGCCGGCCGGTCGGGAGAGGTGAAATTGGCAAACGGGCAACTTTGTTTTACCTATTCTTCTTCGTCCTGCTCCGCTGCTTCTTTTTCGTCGTCTTCCCGTTATTACTACCGTCCTTATTTTTTTTCTTATCTATATTCCCCTCCCCTCTCTCAGCCGACGGCGCGTGCGGTAAGCGTTTATTTTACTTATCGTTATTATTGTTTTTATTTTTTTCGCAAGCACGTTCGTGTACCGATGACAACTTACGGTCGGCTTCGGACTGCCGTCGGGACGTCGCGTACGCAGTCATCGTGACGGTATACCGTGCGCCAGGATTATCGAATGTACACAGGACGATTATTACGGTCGTACAACGCATTTCTCAGGTATTTATTGCGCACTCGTTACCCGCTTACGGTAAACACACGTTCGCATCACCTGCGCTTCCGACGTGGTTTCGGTGGTGGTAGTTCAACCCTCACGCATAAATTATCCCGCGTGTGCGTGTGCGTGTGCGTGCGTGTATATTTGGATATAATATGGTTCGCGGTGGACGTAGGCCATTTCCATAACAATCGCGGGTAATTTTACCGAGTGTCCGAGCTGCACGTATGACTCCGCGGCCAGTGTCAGGAGAAAACAATAAAAAACGCACGCCGTGTGAACGGCGATTTCGGACACGGAGACACCTATATCGAGTGCATCAGGTTCTCGGCAGACGTGCATCATAAAAACGACAAGTTTACTCAGCTATCCGCGTTGTGATGTATCGGTGGGTACACTATGCGTTGACGTGCCACGAGCATTACTTACGGCCTACAAGCGTTGAGTTCGAGCTCTTCACGTTACTACGATACTTATTCCAATCCGAAAATTATCCTACGCGGTATGGGGAAATGAGCGTAAGTAACGATCTGTACGGCACCCGGTAGAAAAACTAAAAAAAATTATTACTATCGATTCCATCAAATTGACTAGGTACTGTGTACTGCGTACAGAGGTATTGAAACTTTTTATTCAACACATACAACTGAAATGAAAACGCAAATAAAAATCGTACAACCTGTTGAGTGTGGACGATTTTTTAATGCATCATTTGTTTATATAGGTAGTATTTTTTTCAACGGATCAAGTGTTTTGAGTCATCTAAGTTATCTTACATCAAGTTTTTTTAGAAAATGCAAATTTATAATCATATTTATAAATGTACATCACAGTGTACATCTATACTGTTTACTATCCAGTTCATGACTGCATGATATTCGTGGATTAAACCCTCCCTTTTGTATGTTTGAAAAAATAGTATATGTTAAAAGAATATAGTATTTTTTCAAACATACTTAATAAATAAAATAAATCATGACTTAAATTTAATCCCTATAGATTAGGTTATGCTAAGATTTTACTACGCACAACCACTTTACTGATATATTCATGCAATAATCAAAAATATATTTGCTATTTTAAACTTTATTAGTTTTGCAGTAAAATAAAAATGTTTTTATTTGAACTCAGACCAACAAGTAAATTGTAATAATTTATATACTAACTAGTTTTTAATTTTTTATTATTTATAGTAATAAAACTTTCGAGTTTTATCTTATAAAAATAAATTATGAATCACAGTGTTTGTCTGAATAATGAATAAATTCATATAATATTTACAAGTAAAAGCTCCATTAAAATAACAATCAAAAGATAAGAAAACAGATGGTTCTTAAAATAAATGAAACAAGAGCTTTATTATATCTATACCTGATACCATAACCCTACGTTATTTAAATGTTCGGCAATAATGGCACCGAATGAAATTGAAACTACCAATTCAAATAATTAGATTTACTCTTCCGATGTACCACCTGTTCAAAAACCAAAACATTTATTTTAAACATCTTTAATAATTAAAGATGTTATACTATATTAAATTATTAAAATATACTATTTTAAATAGAAAATACTTGTTAAGTAATAAAAAAAAAATTTAATTACAATTTTCATTTTTTTAGTTTTCCAATTTTCTAGGCAGTTCAATTGAACTATACGTAGTACGTGTTCTCAGCGCCACTGTACAGCAACTATATTAATTACCAAAGAAAATTGATAAAACCACTATTTTCCGATTTTTACACAATTTTACTGTTATTATTCAAGAATTACTTTACATGCATACAAATTCACAATGAAATGTGTATTTTCAAATCAGAATGATGTAGCGTTTTTGCTCCCCTATCCATCTTATATTTATAATAGGCTATTCAAATATCTGTTGACAGACAGCACCCCAATTTGACCCTCGGAAGTTTTGAAACTATTCATACTATATTACATAGGGTCATGGGAAATTTGTAATTTATATCGTATACAAAAGCAATATTAAAAATGTAGTCTAACATGAATGTAAATTAATGGATACTTAAATATATTTTTTAATTTTTGGTAATATGTTTCATTTTCTTTTCTCAAAAATTAAATTATGTAGACATATTTTAAAAATATCCACGATTACTTATATTACCTAATGTTCTAACACCTATTGTGAAAAGTTATTTTTTCTAAACAACAATAATAAGTATTAATTATTATTTATATTATATATAAATATAGTTATATATCGAACTATATTTCAAAATTAAAAATTAAAAAAACATTGTTTTGTGAGGTTTATAGTTATATCAAACTATAAATTAAAATAAAAATATTTATATCCAATATAATATAAGCAGTTTTGAGTTTTATCTATATAATTATTTAGTTATCTTTATCTTATCTAGATAAATAGTTCCACGTTATCTAAATAATTATCTTGGATAAAAAAATTATTTTATATAGATAAATTTGTATAGAAAAAAGTAAAATACAAATTTGAATTCTTAAATAACACCGGTAACGAAAATTACCAAATGATATTATGTATTATTAACTATTTCGTTAGAAGTTCAGGGTTCAATGTTCAAATATAGAGTAAATGTTGTAGTTATGTTGATGAGTGGTGAACTGATAAATAAGTGTAAAAGTGATTATAATTATTTATTAGTGAGAATGACTGGTGAATTACTCAGTCAGACCCAACCTATTTAATCACATCTTATATTATTATTTTTAACTTTATCACAGAGCAGATGAAATTTTATCCGTAAGTACAATTGGCCATGGCGTCTATTACAAGTATGTATTCACCATATCTTTATACATTTTCTAAACACTTGATTAATATTTTTGTTCGCAACAAAATGAATGATAAAACTTAATAATTGTATTGCTCCTGATTTCATCTTACTTATACATCCATAATTTCTTGTATCAGCCTGAGGCAATAAAACATATATTCTACTATTTCGTCACCCATACATTTCATTCACAGCTAAATTTTCTTAGACTAACATTGGTTTAAACAATTTTAACTTTGACCTTAAGTAACTGAAGATATGAAGACTGAAAAACAAGAGCTTTCACTTTTAGACATTAGATATATGTTATATATTTGTTCATTTCATTGACATTTCACTTCCCATGGTAGACGTTAAAACCTAACCTAATCTGTCATTAAAGTAATTATATAGTTTTTATAAAGGCACGCTACCGCAGGGACTGGTACCTTTTAGTTTTTTCGGTTATGGTTTCGGTTCTGGTACTCAATTTTTTTATTTAAAGGTTCTGGTTCTGGTTCCGATTTTTGAAAAATTCAAAATAAGGGTTAGAGTTTAATAGGGTTCCAAAAGTTATTTTTAAAAAGAAATTTTTATAGTATGACGTGTTTAATTTTTTAATAGGTACCCAGTGACGTAGCCAAGGGAGAAGGCTAATGGGGCTATAGCTCCCCCCCATGGGCCGTGGTTATATGTATAATGTATCTTGACTATTTAATAGAATCAATAGATGCTCGTTTTAATCAAAGGCTTATTGATGTTATGCCACTTGAAGGACTTATTCCGGCCAATTTAAATATGTATGACGATAAAAATATTATAAAAGCTGCTAAAATATATGTCCAAGATCTCCATGATGATACCTCATCTACAATCAGAACTGACCTGTTCATATGGAAGCAACAATGGAGTCAAAATACTATTCCAAAACCGAATTCTGCTCTTGATTCACATCGCACCAATCTTCAACCTAACATCAAAATACTTTTACAATTATTCGCCACGTTACCAGTTACCTCTTTCACTCCGGAAAGAACGTTTTCAGCACTTAATCGCTTAAAAATTGTTTTAAGAAGCACCATGTTGGAAAACAGACTGAATGGGTTAGCTATGGCTAATATAAATAAAAAAGAGCAATTCGATGAAAGTGAAATAATAACTGAATTTGCCAAAAATTCGCCTAAGAGGATATCGCTGTCAGAGTGGAGTAAGTGACTGAACACTGAAACTAAAATTATTATTATTATTATAAATTATATATTAATAAATATTTTTAAAACTATACTAAAATGCTTGAATTACGTTTAGAAACTTGGTGGTAGATGGTGGGGGGGTTAAGGGTGAATTCTCATATCCTCTCTTACCTTACTTATCCAAAAAAAGTGGTTAGCCCCCACCCATTTAAAAATCCTGGCTACGCCACTGTAGGTACCTATACATAAAATAGTTTTACATGTGTTACCAATCAGCAATATCGATAATACCATCATCATGTCTATTGTCTACGAATTAGGTATACAAAATATAAACAATAACCATTCACAAGTCAATCCTTAAATTGTCAAGATATTATATAATATGCCATAATTATAAACAGAGTAGGTAGTACGGTACAAAAATACCAATTCATTTATGAATGAATAAATGTATATCTGAAAATAATATATACATTCCTATACACAAATAATAATTTTTATTGTTTATGCCCTAGACTGAGCAATAGATATGGCATATAATATGGATGAAAAACACATG